GATCATCTTGGTATCTGTCTGGACCTTGAACGTGGTAGTTACCTTGCTGTCTATGGGAGGGTCAGAGAGCCCTCAGATTTCATCAAAAATATCTTAAATTGTGTTACGAAGATGAACGAAGGTCTTACGGGGTTGGAACAACACGAGAGTGAGTAATTAATGACAAAATTTTCATTTTTGGGTGAACTAACCCTTTAATAGATAAATACTTATTTGATTTATTTAATATTATATAATACTATTAAATAAAGCAATTAAGAAAGCTTTAAAAAACACATTAAAATATGTGAGTGTGACATTATGTTATTGTAATATTTTCCCCGATTTTAATGGCAGCTGGGTTACAATAATACAAAATAAAATACAAATTTATTCAGAACTGAAAATCGAAAGACAATAAATCTGTCTGATTGAAATGACACCATTCCATGTATATTTGTCTGTAGTACACATGATGCCGTTAGCTTAGCGTCATGATCCACTACAGTCCAGTTCGGTTGCTGCATATGTAGACAGAGACGCAGTTCGCTAGGTTTTGGATCAGAGCCAAGAAACAGAAATAGAAACACTAACTGAATGAAAGAAAGAGACACAGGGAATCTCTACAGAGCAGCATGCAGCAGTAGTGTTGACTGACACCCTGCATGTGTGCGAGGAAGCTGATATTAGCACTCTTTCACACTTCTTTCATTGTGAGACATTAGTAGTACTCATCACAATACATCTCTGCAGGCTGACAAGATACACACACACACACACACATATACAGACACAGGCTGTCCAGATATATCAGATGATAACGACCAGTTTCCTTCTTCAGACATGCTGAATTCACTGGCCAATTTCGCTATAGTTTCCTGTGACGAATGGCTTGTCGATACAGTAAACAGAACGAGTGAAAATGAGGCAAGTACATAGTTAAGAAACATATAGTGTATGGAAAAGCTGTCGAGACTGATGAGCGGGTCAAGTCACCAGTTCATTTAGACCGCAGTAGCTGACACGTTTTTTTGTGTTGTCTGTTTGTTATTGGCTCTTGAAGGTTTTGCTTTAAAGACTTTAAGCTTGTTAAAATTGATTTGTTACCACAGTGTCACAACATTACTGTCACTGTGCAGAAGAGGTACAGCTTGACATAACAAAAGATAGAGAGAGGGAGAAGAAGAGATGACCTTGACTGATATAACACTGTTTATTCCAACAGCTTAGCTTCAAAAGAAAACAAGTGAACTGTCTTTTGTCAGAATGCTATATCTGTAAAAAATGACAGATATAATAATAATTTGCATGTACATTTTGCGGTTACAGAGATGCTATTTTTTTTTAACATATTAAGCTTTTTTTTTT